CTCCAGCGGCTCAACTGCCGCCGTTCGCGCCCCATGGACTTCCCTCGCACAACGCTGTGGAACGAGAGGGCGGGGCCGCGGCTCCCTTATCCAGTTGAAAACGCCGCCACTGAGTTTGCCGCGGGCCTCTGATTGGCCAGCTTCCCGGAAGCCCTCGCGGGCTCCCGGGAGACGCAGGCGCGTAGTTGAGGAGTGACTCGCTATGTGGTCCCCTCCGCGGCTTTTTTAGGGACTCGAAACTTGAGTTCCGTGTCTCACAACGGAGTCGTCTCGGCGTCTTCGCTGACGGGATAAATCACTTACAACTGCTAGACTAGACAGGCAGTTAGCTAGACCGGAGGAAGCTGAAGGGTAGGCTCTGAGGACTGGCAGCCGCGTGAGGAGCAAGGCCTCAGGGACACCCGATAGTCGCTCGTTTGGAGATCGCAGCCAGCAGCGTGCGGTCAAACACGTCTTAGAAATAGGGGATGCCGGGCGCGGTGGCTCAAGCCTGTCATCCCAGCACTTTGGGAGGCGGAGGCGAGAGGATGGCCCGAGGTCAGGGGCTCGAAACCAGCCCGGGCAATTTGGCGAGACCTCGTCTCTGCAATAAATCATTAAAGTGAACCGGGCGTGGTGGCGCGCGCCTGTAGTTCCAGCTACTTGGAAGGCTGAGGGGGAAAGATCGCCCGAGGCCAGCAGGTCGAGGCTGCGGTGGCCGGGAGCGTGCCACTCCCCTCCAGCCTGGGTGACAAAATGACACTCCAACTCAAAAAAAAAAAAAAAAGAAAGAAAGAAAGAAAGAAAAGAAATAGGGGAAATAGCGACAGGGGAACGCCCTTGTTCTTTGAGGCCGCGCCAGGAGTTTGCGCAGGCGCCCTGAAGACGCGTTGACACCTCCACGACCTGCCCTTGCGTGGTGGTGGGGGGGGGCGGGGGCTCCTGTTGACACCGGGCCCACCGCGAGCGCATGGGTATAGCATTCAGTTAGCGCCCCAGCCCTGGACAGAGACGAGGAGGGGCACAGAGGTAAGGGGGTGGGGGGTGGGGGGTGGAAACCCCAAAACAGGAGGTAAAACGATGCTGCAGGACACGACGCAGACCCTTTTGAGACCCAGCCCCCACCGCACCCTTTCTTTCTTTCTAATTTTAAAAACGTGGGGTACAATTCACGGTTAGGTATACTGGTATACGAATGCTCATTTTGCAGGTTCCGTACCTGTTCGTAGTGCACTTTTACTTGTTTGAATAAGCCTTTCCTTTGCTTCGCTGCTCTGTGTCTTGGCTGGATTCTTTTTTAAAAATTTTTATTTTTTTTTGACCACGAGTCTCACTCTGTCGCCCAGGCTGGGGTATAGTTGCATAATCACGGCTTACTGCAGCCTCCAACACCAGGGCTCAGGTGATCCTGATCCTTCCACCTCAGCCTTCCAAGTAGCTGGAACCACAGGCACCCGCCATGATGTCCGGCTAATTTGATTTATTGTAGAGAGGAGGTCTTGCCAACTTGCCCAGGCTGGTCTCAAACCCGTGGGCTCAGGCAGTCCCCTCGCCTTGGCCTCCCAAAGTGCTGGCATGACAGGTGTGAGCCACCACGCCTGGCTTTGGCTGAATTCTTCCTTCCCAGAGCACAAGAACCAAGGAACACCTTGTTGACCTCCCAGATGGTTAATGTGTTCTGCTATGGTGACTTGATAACTTCCTCAGGCAAATACGAGATCTGACAACTAAGTTTGTGAACTTGCCACCCTGTGCTTATATTGCAGCACTGTACTAACAACTCAGTAAGGCTTCATAACCTTAGTATATCAGTGTCTCACAGGTGTGTTCATGTCAACGTGTGGCGGTGTCTTGCTGAGTGGCGATCATAATAATGCATTAGCTGTTGCATGTTTATGTGTGCCTTCCCGAGCATGGTGGAGCTTGAATTACAGCAATGAACAAACATTAAATTTCTTGTTAAACTTGGCAAAAGTGGAAGTGAAATCAGGGACATGTTAGTCCAAGTTTATGAGAATAATGCCATGAAGAAAATGGCAGCTCACTTGCTGCCGCTGGCCCACGCTCTGTGCTCTACTGTCGCCCCGACGCCCCGCATCTCCGCCGATCACAATGGAAGAAGAAATCGCCGCGCTCGTCATTGACAATGGTTCCGGCATGTGCAAAGCTGGCTTTGCCGGGCCGACGCTCCCAGAGCCATGTTCCCCTCCATCGTCGGGTGTCCCTGACACCAGGGCGTTATGGTGGGCATGGGTCAGAAGGACTCCTACGTGGGCGACGAGGCCCAGAGCAAGCGAGGCATCCTGACTCTGAAGTATCCCATCGAGCATGGCATCGTCACCAACCGGGCAATATGGTGAAGATCTGGCAGCACACGTTCTACAACGAACTGCGTGTGGCCCCCAAGGGGCACCCGGTGCTGTTGACCGAGGCCCCCCTGAACCCTAAGGCCAACAGAGAGATGATGACTCAGATCATGTTTGAGACCTTCAACACCCCGGCCATGTATGTGGCCATCCAGGCCGTGCTCTCCCTGTAAGCGTCTGGGCGTACCACTGGTATTGTCGTGGACTCTGGAGACGGGGTCACCCACACGGTGCCCATCTAGGAGGGCTACGCCCTCCCCCATGCCATCCTGCGTCTGGACCTGGCTGTCCGGGACCTGACAGACTACCTCATGAAGATCCTCACGGAGCGTGGCTACAGCTTCACCACCACAGCTGAGCCGGAGATTGTGCGTGACATCAAGGAGAAACTGTGCTACGTTGCCCTGGACTTCGAGCAGGAGATGGCCACCGCTGCATCCTCTTCCTCCCTGGAGAAGAACTACGAGCTGCCTGATGGCCAGGTGATCACCACTGGCAACAAGCGGTTCCGGTGTCCAGAGGCAGTGTTCCAGCCCTCCTTCCTGGGCGTGGAATCCTGCGGCATCCACGAGACCACCTTCAACTCCATCATGAAGTGTGACGTAGACATCCGCAAGGACCTGTGCGCTAACACAGTGCTGTTTGGTGGCACCACCATGTACCCGGGTATTGCTGACAGGATGCAGAAGGAGATCACTGCCCTGGCGCCCAGCACCATGTAGATCAAGATCATTGCTCCCCCTGAGTACAAGTACTCCATGTGGATCCGTGGCTCCATCCTGGCCTCTCTGTCCACCTTCCAGCAGATGTGGATCAGCAAGCAGGAGTACGATGAATCGGGCCCCTCCATCGTCCACCGCAAATGCTTCTAAACGGACTGTGAGCAGATGCGTAGCATTTGCTGCATGAGTTAATTCATAAGTATAAATTTGCCCTGGCAAATGTATACACCTCATGCTAGCCTCACGAAACTGGAATAAGCCTTTGAAAAGAAATTTGTCCTTGAAGCTTGTATGGTATTAGCACTGGATCGTAGAACTTGTTGCTGATTTTTGACCTTGTATTCAAGTTAACTGTTCCCTTGGTATTTGTTTAATACCCTGTACATATCTTTGGTTTAAACCCTTAGTACACATGTGGCTCAGTCACTTCATGGCTGAGGTGAGAACATGCTTATGGAAGAGAAGTCTGTGATCTGTGAATCTGCGTGACCAAGAGTCTTGATCTGTGCAGGGTATTAATGTGTCAGAGCTGAGTATTCCAGGATTTCTCTAGAGATTGGCAAGAGCCGAACAAGTTGTCATTTCTGTCTTGCCAGCTGGTCTAACAGGGTTGGAAAGGTCCCAGCCTTAGGACCCAGTTTCCTAATTGTTTTCCTGCCAGAACACCATGGGTTGTTACTTGCCTTGAGTTGGAAGCAGTTTGCATTTACACCTGTAAATTTATTCATCCTTTTAATTTATGTAAGGTTTTTGTATGCAATTCTTAATTATTTAAGAGATGACAGCAGATTTTGGTTTTCTACTGTTATGTGAGAACTTAGACCCCAGCAACACATCATTGTGTAAGGAAAAATAAAGTGCTGCAGTAAAAAAAAAAAAAGAAAGAAAGAAAATGGCAATGTACAAGTGGATTAAATGTTTTTCTGAGGGGAGAGAAAGCACCACTGATAAAGAGGGATCAGGATGGCCAGTAACAAGCAGAACTGATAAAAACATTGCAAAAGTTCATCAAATTGTGTGTCACAATTATTGACTGACTGTGAGAAGCATAGCAGACCAAATAAACATCTCTAGAAAAACAGGAAGATCTTAACTGAAAATCTTGGCATGAGAAAGGTGTGTGCAAAAATTTCCCAAAGGAGCTCTTGCATCACAACAATGCACCAGCTCACACAGCACTGTTTATGAGGGAGTTTTCAGCCACTCAACAAATAACTGTATTGGAACACCCTCCCTACTCACCTGCTCTGGCCCCCAGTAGCTATTTTATTTACCTGAAGAGAAAGTAAATATTGAAAGGAAGACATTTTAATGACATCCAGGACATCGAAGGTAATACTACAACAGGTCTGATGGCCATTC